GTCAGAGCCAGGTGGGGCTGGCCGGGAGAAAGGGGCAGTAGGCTGCATCACGGAGGGGGTCCTTGGAGCTGTGAAACCAGCCAGGGAGCTGGAGTACCTGAAGATCATGAAAGTTCCCAACCTGCTGTGCAGAGTACATTCAGACAATTTTGTCTACCTGTCCTTTCTCCTGAGTAGTAAGCTCTGTGCAATCTTTGCCCCTTTAGCAGCCCTCTTGCTATTAAGACGTCTTTCAGACTGCCCGCCTTTCTTTTGTCCCAGAGCAGCCAGATATGGATCCATGCTTTCCACAAGTGGCTGGAATCTCAGTCTCTCCAGGTATTCTGCCTTTCTTAGCTTTCCAACCCCCTGATCATGAGAGTACCATGAATGCACCATGAAATGTAGATTTGTGCTCCCAGCGCAGATCTCCGGCTCTAGGTATTCAGCAGTCCCAGGCCTCCACTCCCTCCCTGCTCTGTTTCTCTTCCTCCTGCTGGTGAGCTGGGGTGGGGGAAGGGCTTGGGTTCCACCGGGCCATGGCTTTGGTAAGTTACCCTGTTCTGTGAGGTTTATTCTTTTCTCCAGGTGTATGCAGTTTGGCGCCATCCTCTTTCCTGTTGCTCTTTCACGATCAGTTGTATTAATTATATTTTTGTATTATATGTGGTTTTAGGAGGAAGGCTCTCTCTCATCTCTCACACTGCCAACTCCCATGTGCCATAAAGCTGATTCTTATGTTCAGAGATCAAAAGGAATTCTGATTCACCTTCTCTCCCTCCAAAGACCTAATTAAAATCTATGGTTAAAACAAAAATAAACCTATATGAAACACAATAACAAAGAATGGGAAGGTAGCAAGTGAACAGATGAGAAAATATAATTACTAGGAGAAAGAGTAGAAAGAGGAGTTATAATGCAGCACAGAACAAACTATAGAGTATAGTGAAAGGGAAATAGAGCCAAAAATGGAGCATACCTGCCCTGGGATTCAAGAACAAGTTTGGGGAAATGACACAGAAAGTAGAGAATCAGTGCAAAATATTACAGACAACTACACACTGTCATCCTAATTCCTGAAGTTCAACAGATAAATCAAAATAACCAGTGTGCCTCTGATGAAACCAAGTTAATGTATGAAAAGAACAAGGCAACTACCTTAAAGTGAAGCTTTCTGGTAACCAAGATCTACCCATATACATAAGTTACCAATGAGCCTTTAAAATTTTATTCTTTAATATGAATGGTAAAGACCACTGAGCATTAAAGAGTAGGATCACAGCAAGAACAATCCCAAAGATATAAGGAACAGAAGAATCCTAAGAAAAAAAAAACCACTTTGAATGCCAGTTGATAAATTCAGTTTCAAGGCAGAACTGCGTCTAAGAAGCAGATCTTGAAAAAGGAACTTTCAGGGAATGAGAAAGGATTCTTAGAGGCTAAAAATAAAAAGATAAAAAGATGATTTATAATAAAAAATCTATAAAGTAGAAGCAGAGCTTAAAATCAAGCATGAAGATAAAAAAGGTCTAAGCAAATCACTGAAATTTCAAAACTAAGGAACAATCCTAAATGCTTGTGGGAACAGGGGAAACAAGTCTCAAAAATCAGAAAAAACAAGACTTTTCATCAGTAATGCTTAATGGAAAAAGGAATATAGTCGAAGCTCTGAAAGTAAATTATTTTCATACCAGAATTCCATAACATTAAAGTGTGAGCAATAAATGAAGTTATTTTCAGATTTCTAAGTAGTCAAAGTTTACCTTTCATGTATACCTCTGTTGAAAATACATTTCAGAAATTCAGGATATAAATAAAGAGGAAAAATGCATATCCAGGATGCAGCAGTTCCTACCGAGTAGATTTGAAAGAAATATCCCAGAGCAATGCTGAAGGCCTAGGGAATAATCAGAGTCCACACTGTTGCCGGAGGACATTTTATCTAGGGTAAAAGAATTCTGATACCATGTTTAAGAAGTTGGACTAGTTTAGGAAGATGGTAAGGGCTGGTAATGCAAGGAGAAAAAAATAACTAGAAATTCCAGGAGAAAGAAAAAGCTGTATAAGAAATATACTGGGCTGGGCAGCAATGTTTTCATAAATGTAATAAAATGCCATGTTCATTTGTAACTTAAGATAGTAATAGTTATAGGGCAGAACATGTCATCAACTTTATCAATATAAAAATATAAAGATGGCAAAGGAATAAATGAAGTAAAGAGAAAGATGGGGAAGGGCACTAACACCCTTACTTGACCAAAGGGACTCAAGAAATACTACCTGTTAGTTGACAGAACAAGAAAATGTTAAGGACACAGCTTAAACTTGCTTTATGCTTCTCAAAATGTCATATATAGATCATGATAGTACAGGACACTGATTTAATGGTAGACACTTCTTTTCCTCCCACTCTCTATCTCAGTTACTACTCTACTCATGCCAGGTGATTTTGTTTTTTATTTCCAGTAGAACTTAGTTTTCTTAAAAACAAAAAGACATTTAAGCTAAAAAGTAATTTAAGTCAAATAATAATAAAGGTGGCAGGAAGATGTTGCAAAAACTGGGAAGGGGTATTTAAATAAATGAAAACACTTCAACAGATTTAACTTAAGAGAGTTAGTAAGTATAGCTATATTGGAAGAAGTGACAAGTGAGTGAAATTTTCATCTACAATTAATTTACTTAAGACTTAATAAATCAAAACATATCAATTTAATCACATCATTTAGAGACATGAACTTAACCATATACCAGATGAAAAGCCATACAAAACTGGTTTCTCTGGGGGACTAGGTCTGGGAGTGCGGAAGCAGGTAAAGCCAGGATCAATTACATGCCCTTCTGCACCACATGACTGTTTAAAGATGTGCATTAATGTATTGCATTGGTATGGGTAGAAAATCAGGTTAGCAAGTGAGATACTGGCAAGAAATAAACTGAGCAAAGCCTTCTAAAGTGACTGACACTTACCTACTGGGGCCTGGGGGGCTCCAAAGCCCAAAGTGGCTGTCGTAGTATTAAATCCAGGGGCCCCAAAGGCTCCTGTACCAAGAGGCCCTCCGATCTTAGGTTGGTTGTTCCCAAATAAAGATGCCTGTCCAGCACCAAGAGCTATGGAGACAAGAGGAAAGAAAAAGCACCACAGAAGATCCTTTGAATGTTATGCCAGAGGTCAGTTACTTAAAAATATAATACATTTGGAAACTTCAAAATGACCATTCATTTCAACAAAAGAGCTAATACAGTAATGCTAACTATATGCTAGGCACTGTACTGATTCCATTATATACATCAAAGGCAAAATATTTAACCTCTCTGTGCTTCAATTTCCTCAACTATAACATAAGACAATAATACATAGCTTAGATACATATCTAAGATTAAAATGAATATACATATTAAGCATTTAGAAGAAAGTAGGAAATATTATCCCCATTTTATAGATGAGAAAAGAGTTTAGTAATTAGTTCAATATCACAAACATTAATAAATGGTGAGATTGGGGTTAAAACCTGGGTCATCTAACAATACAATGAGCACTCATAACTGCTATTCTGTAGTAAAACAGGGGTTGGAAGAATTAAAAAACACTCAGTTCTCCTTAAATTTCAGTGTTGCAAATGAAAACACTCAACTGAATGAATCACAATGTCATCTTTTTGATTAACATATAGGTTAAACTATTAAAAACCAAAGCCAATACATCTTTGAATAGCAAAAAGTAACACTTTCAAGTATATTATCTCATGAAAACTACTTTGGGCAAACTTTTGCTTTATAAAAAGCTAATGTATTACAAGTAATGACTCATTAGTATCTTACTATGCTGATAGATAGTGACTGCAATTGGGTGTGGGGGGTACTTGATAATATGGGTGAATGTTGAAACCACAATGTTGCTCATGTGAAACCTTCGTAAGATTGTGTATCAATGATACCTTAAAAAAAAAAAAAAGCTAATGCTTATAATGAGGTTACTGAACAGATTCAAGTTTCAGTATGAATCAGACTGGATAGATTAAGAACTTATTTTCATCAGGGGGAAATCCGTTGCATAGGCATAATGTTTTAAAGTCTAATGAATCTTGCTTACGGACCTTGTTGTTGGCAGCAACTTAAAATATGTAAAATGGGGAATTTCATTAAGAATAAGCTTTGGCATACATTTAAAAAAAATTTCCACTCCCTCTTCCTCAAAACACTATTGACAATCTGGAAGGTCCTTTTAATATATCAATGCATCTTGTCAGAGAGATGGTTTACCAGGAAAACGACTTCAAAAATGTATTTGGAAGTCAAAAATATCAAATAGAAACTGCTTTGAGATTACAAAAAGGATAGTAAGTTTATATTCAGAGAATCCATACAAGTTAGTGAGGACGACTACTCAACGGACAAAATATTCCATGTCCAACTTCATTAATAACAAGAAGGCAACAATGTAGTGATGGTATTACTTCATCTTATAATGCCCAATTTTGAGGATAAGACTTCTTTTAAAGTCCCAAACCATTAGAAAAACTAAAATTATATTACTCCTTAACGGACACAGCTTACAGCATTTCAGGATTTTTAATTTTTTCAGGAAATGAACACTTCCTTACCTGCCCACCCCCCAAAATTAGGTGAAACCCTAATATATAAAATGGATAACTTCTGTTCTGGATGGGTATGTATTTCCCTCACTTTGCAGCAGCCATAGATGAAGAACCATGACAGCCTGAAAATTACCATACCTCAGTAACCCACGAAAAAAATTACATGGCACTGGGAGGTTCATGTGATCTAGAAAGGGACTACTAAAAATTTACCTGCCTGCATACAGCTGCAGTTTACTGATGGATAAATGCTAGGACATGCTGATATATGATAATGTCAATTTATGAAATGTGTTGTATTTATAATTAACTGTAGGAGTCATAAGAAACACATATTGAGGGAAGGGGACACCATGGTAGAAGCCCTAGAAACTCTAAGGATATGCAAGGAAAAAGTGAAAATGAAAATATTCTTTTGAGATCTTCTAATGAATGTTAGAATTTAATTTTATCTATGGTAGCTTTTAGCTTTGGATATATTTTTCTATATATATCTTAGTATAATAAACTTTACTAGATGTACCCTTAATTACTTACTAATTTTTAAGAACTAAACTTCTAAATATTACTAACTACCAAGAAAATGACATACTACTGATAGTGCTAATGATAGTTTATTAATATATTACTGTAAAACAAGAAACTGATATACCCGTGATTTACTGAGTGTTCCTTAGTCTGAGTACATACTGTAGGGAGAGGGAGCAATCACACATCAAAGGATAACAGAAAAAATTTTATACTAAGATTGATGGTTTAAATCTAAGAGTACACAAAATAACTTAGTTGTAGTTGAACAGTTAATATTTCTGTAGTCAACTACTCATAAAGTACCCGAGGTACATGAAGTGCTCGGTGATTCTAACATTCTCATTTCCTACCCGCTGCTATTGCTGCTAAGGCAAGGGGGGGAAATCTTCATCAGCCCTTCAAAAATCCCTTGCTTTTGCCCACACCAAAGCCGATTTTTAGCTTTTAGTTTACATAGACAAAGTGTGACTGAGGAATGTATAACAGCAATAAAAATGAGATTCATTGTAAAGTAGAACTACTTAAGGAGAACTGAATATATTCAAATTAATAAAAAGACTGATATTACATTATTGTGGAATAGAAGACAATAGCATCAGAAGAATTGTTGACAGGATTTTTTATAATCTTGGACTAGAGGACAAGGCATTGCTAATCATTAACCTGCAAGACCCAGAAGCCAAAGAGGAGAGAATGACAATTTTGACCACATACAAATAAAACTTGTACATAAAGATACTATGAACAAAAGTAAATGCTAAACATAAAGACTTGGTAGAAATATCTGTAAGAGACATTGGAGTAACATCTTACCCAGGGCATTAGGTTTACAGTTCATAAACTGTCAAGACTTAAAACTACCCTTCAAAAACCCCTTGCTTTTGCCCACACCAAAGCCAATTTTTTCTTTGGATTACAAGAGAACACTGATGTTAGATGGTATAATCTCCTTAAGTTTAGAGATCACACTGTACAAAAAACTAAAATTTAGTTTTTATTTGTTGCAAAATTTATGTGGTAGAAATTAGATGGTAAAGGGCCCAAATGAGACTCTACCACACAAAGAATTAGTATCTATGGTATATAAAGCACACTCAAAAATAAATTAAAAAACAATCATCAAATGTTGTAAATAGGGAATTGAAAGGTTCAAATGGTGAGTATATATACATAAGGATTTCCTTCACCAGTAATCAGTGAAGTGCAAATCAGATTATACAAATTTCAACTATCATGCATGCAAAGATAAAAAGACCCAACAATATGGAAAGGGCATGGAAAAATGAACACTTTAATATAATGTGAGCAAAAATGCAAATTGGCCTTCTCTTAGGAAGGCAAATTAATTAGCAAGATTGACCACATTTCAAAATACGTGTATCTTCTGGCAACAATTCCAATTCTAATTATCAATCCTATAGTAATAGTATCACATACAAAATTCTGCAACAAAGATCTTCATTATTGCACTGCTAATGCCATCAAATAACTCAAATGTCCATCAACAGGGAAAAATTTAAATGATAGTGTGCTATATGTATATACATATGTATACCACAATTGGATACTAAACAGTTACTTTTGAAGACTGAGTTAGATCTATCTATCTATCTACCTACCTACCTACCCTACCTATCTATACTGACCAAAGGAAAAAAATGCCCCAAATGTCACAGGAAATGAAAAAATACAGAATACTATGTAAGGTAGTTGATTTCAGTTTGAAACATTTTTTTTACTGTAGTACACAATATGAAATACACTGAGACCCAAAACACACACATGCATAACTTAAACAAAAGTTAAATAAAATGACACTTGGCCTTGTTAAGTAAAATGATTTTTTAAATTCTAGTTCATTTCTTTAAAATGCTCACTGCAGCCCACTACATTAATATTCCAACCAACTAATGTATCTCAGTCTTTGGTTTCAAGAACACTTAGATAGATACAGTTTCTATTTAAGGATGAAATATTCTACATGTAAAACACAGATGGGCATGTTTGAAAAATATATACAAAGGGGGCTGACAAGATACACGTCAAACTTTAAATAGCTGTTACTTCACAGCTGAAAGAATTCGGCATTGTTGATTCATTTAACAAGCACTTTTTCCACTTTAAAAAGAAAATGAAAATAGTTCAAAGAGTACAAAACGAGGTTCTATTAAAAGGTAGATGGCAGAGAAATGATCAGAGCACAGAAGCAAAGACAACTAACTCGACACCAGAAGCAGAGACCATAAACATAAATGGTTTGTAACTCAACGACCACACCTACAGGCAAATGAATTGAGAAAGTAGGCAAAATTGTATGTTTAAACAACCTTACTGAACTGTACTGAAGCACTTACTCATGACCACGACCGCCACCCTCCAATTGCTTAAAATAGCTGGGCAGACAGAAGGGTCAATGTCTTCAAAGGCACTGAAAAATTAATTATCAACAGGAGGCACAGAGACAAAGGCATGATATTTTGGCTCTATATCAAGGTAAAATAATGGAAAGTTATGCATAAACCTTGCAAAACTTCAGAGTACTTGTTAATTACTTCAGCTTGTGCTCCGTCTACCGTTAGGGTAATAAAGCCTACTTGATAAACAGTTCAATGTCTCAATTCCCTGTTATAAAAGTAGCACAGGGGAACTAAAAGTTAATAATATTATCATATTAACAAGTCTCACATTAAATACTGAAAATCTCAGACAGATCAAGACTTTCAGAGAACAAACTTTTTGTATAAATGGAGTATTTAGCCACTAAAATGAATATGTCAATGTTTTAAACCTGGTAAAGCGTAACTGCTGGGAATGTCTTATAAAACCATTTGTAATCATGAAAATCTAGGTCTCTTATTTCCAGGCATATGATCAAACAGAGGTCTTTAGTTTCAGCAATTAGAAAACTAAGTTGTATCACTTCCTAAATCTTTTGGTACAGTTCCTTACCTGTTCCAAATCCTGTACCAAGCCCAGTTCCCAAAGTCCCAGGTCCTGGTTTACTTCCAAAAATACTATTCCCACTGGTATTCGTGCTGAAACCTAGAAGGACAAAAGAATAAGTGGACTGTACTTTTAGCACAACTCTCAATTTCCTGAACAAGGGAATTTAAAACAAAGCAGACTGACCCTGAACATTACATCTTTTCATGAATTCATGCACTTAGTACATCTTTTCTTCAACTGTGTTAATAGCTTTGCCACAAAAATGGAGTACTGTCTACTCAAGTGCAAATAATATTCTTTAAAGAAAAAAACAGATAATGCAGTTGGAGATATTTTCTCATTCTGAGTTAAAATTTAACCAGAAAGGATCTTCCAGTTCCCTAAACAGCAGAAAACAAGATACTTGTGAACTACCTCAAACCCACAGGAGGGAAATAAGTCCCAGCTTACACTGTTTATACCACACATTTCCTCCGATTCTTACTGACAAATGTTTATCAACTCTGTTATTTCTAAACAGTTTTTTAAATTAAAATTAAAGATTATTAATTAATAGTCAATTTACGAAAAAGGAGCCAAGAATATACAATGGAGAAAGGATGGTCTTTTCAATAAACGGTGCTGGAAAAATGGATAGCCATATGCAAAAGACTGAAACTGGATCCCTACCTTATACCACATACAAAAATTAAATCAAAATGGATTAAAGGCTTAAATGTAAGACATGAATCTTATGTAAAACATAGGTGGTAAGCTCCCTGACATTTCTCTTAATGACTTTTTTTGGACCTGACACCAAAAGCAAAGGTAACAGAAGCAAAATAAACAAGTGGGACTACATCAAACTAAAAAGCCTCTGCACAGCAAAGTAAACCATCAGTAAAATGAAAAGGCAACCTACCAAATGGGATAAAATATCTGCAAATCATGTATCTGATAAGAGGTTAATATACAAAATACATAAAGAACTTATACAACTCAATGGCAAAAAAAAATCTGATTAAATATTGGGAAGATTTGACTAGACATTTTTCCAAATAGATAAAGATGGCCAACAATGATACTTAAAAAACGATGGCCAATAGACACATGAAAAGATGCTCTAAATCACTGATCGTCAGGAAAATGAAAATGGAAATCACAAAGAGATATCACCTCTCAACTGTTAGAATGGCTACTATAAAAAATATAATAAATAAATATTAGCAAGGATGTGGAGGAAAGAGAATCCTTGTGCACTGCTGGTAGGAATTTATGGTGCAGCTTCTATGGAAAATATGATGGTTCTAGTACTTCCACTTCTGGGTATTTATCCAAAGAAAATGAAAAAATTAACTTGAAGAGATACATGCACCCCCATGTTCACTGCAGCATTATTTAAAATAGCCAAGATATGGAAACAACCTAGGTGTCCACTGATGGATGAATGGATACACACACACACATATACACATAGTGGAATATTATTCGGCCATGAAAAGGGATTAAATCTTTCCATATGTGACAACATGGATGGAACATTATGCTAAGTGAAATAAGTCAGAGAAACACAAATACCATATGATTTCACTTACATGTGAAATCTTAAAGTAAGAAACAATAAAATCCCACAAAACCTGAGCTCACAGATACAGAAAACAGAATGGTAGTTACCAGAGGCAGGGGGTGGAAGATAACAGAAATAGGATCAAAAAGTACAAACTTCCAGGTATAAAATAATTATAATTAAGTCATGGGGATGTAGAATACAGCATGGTGACAATACTTAATAATACTGTATAGAATATGTCAAAGTTGCTAAGAGAGTAGATCTTAAAAGTTCTCATCACAAAATGTAAATTTGTAACCATATATGGTGATGTATGTTAACTAGACTTATTGTGGCTATGTATGCAAACTGAATGTACAGAAATACTGAATCCTTATGTTGTTACACTACACCTGAAAATAATATATAACTTCATGCCAATTATACAACCCCCCAAAAAAAGGCAGCTAAAAATAAGATATTTATGTATACAAATAGTTTCTTAACTGTTCCCTTAACCACATACCATGGAAGAAACACTTATTTATAACCCATCATCATCTTACCAATATCTAAAGGATCTTTAACATCTTTGAACTGCTGCTCTCAAATTTAAAGATGTGTTGTTTATAAATTCAGACACTATCATATAGTCTATGTATCATATATAACTTAAACTAGTTCCTGTCAGGAAAAAAACTAGTAAGAAAATGAGCTGATGACTCTGAAAAATGACTTAAGAATCTGGCAACACCAAGGGTGGCAGGTATCCCAACCTTTAACTCTGTGGATTAATCACCACCAAAATGAAACAAAATCCCATACTGGGTAATGTTCCAAATCTTTGTATAACATTATTTCACTTCCAGATTTTTATATGACTTTTTTCTAAATCAGAAGATTATCTCTGCCATAAACTCAAAGATTACAGCTTCCCAAAAAAATAGGAACATCAAAGAAAGCATTACTTAGATCTGGATACCTCAAGGGTAGTAATGGAATAAATTAGCTCTAGAGTAAAACAAAACTTCCCACCCAGCAAGCCTCATCTGACTAGCAGGTAATCCTTCCTTTCGGGGATCCACTTACTTGTTCTTTGTCATATAACAAACTTTTAATGAGCACCTACTCTATGCCAGGCACTAGGTCAACAATGGGTATTAAAGAAATTTAATGACAATTCAAATTCAGCACATAAACTAGTGAGGCATTTCAGATAACAAGTGATCTTTCATTTTTATATCATTGGACATGAGTATAAATATATTTATAAACCAAACAAATTTCCAAACAAATCAGAAATCTGTAACTATGGAATGGCAACTTTCAGAAGTCAGCCTATGTTATCAAGGATAGCCTACATAAGGCACCCTGCAAAATAAAAATAATCTTTAAGAACAGCGAATGTGCCACAAAAAAGCCATACATTTTCAAAGGGAAAAAAATTGGTTCTTGAGGGGCTAAAAGAATCAGAGATATACAATGGTTTATGGACCTCCAAAGGGTTACATACAGTACATAAACACTTACACAGTATGTATGTGGCATTAAAATCTCATGGGGTAAGAAGATGATGAAGCAAACATATCAGTCTACAAAGGTTCTTTGGGAAAGGAGGGACAGTGATTAAAAAACAGTTGAGAAACACTGCTGTAACTCATAAGTATCTTCCTCATCTTAATTTTATAGATTATAAACAAGTATATAAAATAAACATCCATGTTAACCAAGTCCACTGCCTGAAAACCATTCTTCCATAGAGTACAACCAAAGAGAATTATAGGTACAATGATAATCATTACTAGCAATGAACTACACAACAACAGAGGCCATGAAAATGAAATTAAATACATCAATTTAGTAATTGTTACCTGACAAGGACCTAACTTTTCATCTACTTCAAATTTATGTGAATACATATAATCTTCCAACAGGTGCTTAATGCAGTCTCTTTCTCCAGTACAAGATTCGTAAGTTCATTGAAAAAGTGGTGTGTTACCTTTTTCAACACTTTGAATGTTCAATGTTACCATTTTCAACACCTTCAATGTTGACCTATGTCAAATAACCTTGTCTTTGCACTCATCTCCCACTAGCTATCCAGTGCCTAATGATGTATCTGGAACATGAAATCCTTAACAGATACTTAAACCACTATTCCCTTGGTAATAAAATGAACTTTTCATATCTGACTTAAAACATATTACATTGAATTTTTTTTTGTATCATTAATGTACAATTACATGAGGAACATGTTTACTAGACACCCCCCTTCACCAAGTCCCAACAACAAACCCCATTACAGTCACTGCCCATCAGTGTAGTAAGATGCTATAGAATCACTACTTGTCTTCTCTGTGCTGCACAGCCCTCCCTTTACCCCACCCCCATTATACATGTTCATCTTAAGGCCCCTTTTTTTTCCCCCATCCCCTTATCCCTTTCCCTTTGGTAACTGTTAGTACATTCTTGGGTTCTGTGATTCTGCTGATGTTTTGCTCCTTCAGTTTTTTCTTTGTTCTTATACTCCACAGTAGATTGAAATCATTTGGTACTTGTCTTTCTCTACCTGGCTTATTTCACTGAGCATAATACCCTCCAGCTCAATCCATGTTGTTGCAAACGGTAGGTTTTGTTTTCTTCTTATGGCTGAATGATATTCCATTGTGTGTATGTACCACAACTTCTTTATCCATTCCTCTAATGATGGACACTTAGGTTGCTTCCATTTCATGGCTATTGTCAATAGTGCTGTGATAAACATAGGGGTGAATCTCTTTTTCAAACTGGGGTGCTGTATTCTTTGGGTAAAGTCCTAGAAGTGGAATTCCTGGGTCAAATGGTATTTCTATTTTGAGCTTTTTGGGGAACCTCCATACTGCTTTCCACAATGGATGAGCTAATTTACATTCCCAACAGGAATGTAGGAGGGTTCCCCTTTCTCCACAACACTCCAACATTTGTTGTTTGTCTTTTGGATGGTGGCGATCCTTACCGGTGTGAGGTGATATCTCATTGTGGCTTTAATTTCCATTTCCCTGATGATTAGTGATGTGGAGCATCTTTTCATGTGTCTATTGGCCGGCCATCTGGATTTCTTCTTTGGAGAAGTGTCTGTTCACCTCCTCTGCCCATTTTCTAATTGGATTATTTGCTTTTTGTTTGCTGAGGTGCATGAGCTCTTTATATATATTGGTTGTCAACCCTTTATTGGATATGTCATTTATTAATATATTCTCCCATACTTGTAGGATGCCTTTTTGTTTTATTGGTGGTGTCCTTTGCTGTACAGAAGCTTTTCAGCTTGATGTAGTCCCATTTGTTCATTTTTGCTTTTGTTTCCCTTGCCTGGGGAGATATATTCATAAAGAAGTCACTCATGTTTATGTCCAAGAGATTTTTGCCTTTGTTTTTTTCTAAGAGTTCTTTGGTTTCATGGCTTACATTCAGGTCTTTGAATCATTTCCAATTTACTTTTGTTTATGTGGTTAGACAATGATCCAGTTTCATTCTCTTACATGTACCTGTCCAGTTTTGACAACACCAGCTATTGAAGAGGCTGTAATTT